ATGACCAGCCATTTATTAAAATTCTTGATGAAGAAACATCGAACATTGCCATCAAGAGTAATGCTTTTAAATGATTCGAACTGTTTTGAGTTCAATTTGTGTTAACATTGTCGAACTTCTAGGATGATGTTTTATGCTGGATTATACAAATTTTTGGTTGTTTTCATCAATCAATTAATCAATAAATTTTAAGACTAAGTTCAATTTCAGCACTACTTCCAAGTTTTTTTGTTTTTTTTTTAGTTTAAGATGTCAAAATCAAATTAAGAGTACCTTTATTAATCCCTTCTGATTCGGTCAAAAACAGGTTATCCACGCCGAAATTAAGATATTCATGAGAGATAAATTTCTCTTAGTCTGACATAATGAGTTATGAAGATTCAAACTCAGGACATCTGAGTTTAATCAACTTCTCACAAGCTTCTACTAAATTTGGCTCCAGCAAAAATATAGAGTCGGCTTTGGCTGCGTTTAAACATATTCAGGCTCGACAAACTTAGTTCCATTAAAGTCAATATTCAAGGGCTATATGCTGTCACTTCACAGTGGCACCAAACTTAATGGTCCAGCCAAAATCCATATTGTTCCATGAAACCAAAATATGGAACCTGACTTTACTTGAAGCTGATCACAAGAAAATACATCACCATAAACTAAGCTACTGCATGTACAAGTTACTTCCTGTGGATTCAATGTAGCAGATCTAGTGACTAGCCATGTACGAATTGATCCTTCTCAGCTTATGAACTAGAGAGGACAGAAAGCTTGCTATGCAACCAAGTCAATCGCTTCTCAACCCGTAGCGATAAGAATGTCTCCCTAGCATTTCGGTTGTTGAAGAGATCCAACGCAGTAAAATAAACTTGCGGATCAACGCTTTGCATGGCATCCAATGCTTTAACACAGTCAGATATAGAGAACCTTTCATTGCATTTCTGTATAGCAGCTGCCCTTAGCTTTGATGCAGCTGCCATTTCCAATATAGCATTTGCAATATTATCATCAATCCCTTTGCGACCCCTCTTTCGACAACCATCTCTTGAAGAGGTAGTCGATTGCAATTTGTCTGGCTCAACTGCCATACTGAAGTCTTCCTCTGAATCCGAAGAAGACTCCTTGAACGTGGTAAAATGTTCTGACCAAGGATTATTGGGAGTCCCCTCGTCTTGTTCAGCCAGCCCATTATACACCCCGTTTACGCCTGGTTCTGAAAATATTGTGCAAAGCTGTTTGTAAATTGGGCACCCCGTGCTTCTTACAGACTCAGCATCAGGATGTTCCTGAAAAGAATATCCCCCAGAAAATTTTACATATCGGATTGATGATAGATAGAGAATGTAATCTACTCCTAACTGGAGGAATGCTAAGCCCTTAATGCATCAACATACTACTAGAATACAAGCTAGATTAGAGTTTTTTTTGTCACAATATTATGGAGGTTTGGAGAATTGTAGGGGTCAAGCATGACAAAACCTCTGCTGCCCAGCCATGGGGTGAGAAGTGGTTCCTTTAGGTTTAGATCTTGTTCCTAAATAACGAGACACTAGAAACAAAGTGACATACCTTAATGTAATTGTCCCATGCTTCATCGTTAGCGATGATAACACCTGTGGGCTCATCCCATTTGAAATCACTTTGATCAAGAAGTGATTTAACGATAAGATATTGCTTCCTTAAGACAGCATAACGGTTCTTCAATTGCTCCTTGTCCCATTTAAGACCCGTTTTCATATAAAAGTCATCACATATATATTTCCATGCTTTTTTGCTGAAGGAATGGTTTTGTTTATTCTTCTTATGAACCTGGTCAACCATCAATTCTGCAAGTATCTTGGTAAGAGATGATGTCCATTTAGCCCTTGACTGTGGTTCTGGCTGCCCTGCAGGTGGTGGTCTCCTTGATCGAGTCGACCGGCTGGCCATCTACAAGTTCACCATGAAACCTTCTCAGTAAAAGAAAGCAGTCTTACCAAAAATTCTCGAAATCAGCTCGCACGTTTGCTAAAAGTCCAGAATTCTTATAATGCATTCAAAACAACGTTTGTCAACTTCTCTAAAGAAGCATCACAAAGCAGCCTTAATTATCTAAAATGCTGAGTCATATATAGTTTTCTAGTCTGCATTGACAAGTGAGGAAGCAACACTTTTTTCTACATCAGAAGACATGAATGGTTGCAATCAAACAGAGAGCAGACAGATTTACTACCCACCCGCACAAGGTACAATCTCTTACAACTTTGCAAATCTCCAACATTCACGTTTCACAAAAAGATTTAAAAAATAACACGAGGGTCCCTTGTATTCACAATTCCCAACCCAACCTTGTATTTCTTTGAAAGCCTCAGCTTTTACGATCAAAAGAGGTCCAATTGTTTGCAATCTGTCCAATGCATGGGTTGTCAATTAACCCACAATAAAATAAATTCTCCTCCCTCGCCATAGGTTTTGCATGCACACAATATCACTTTGTAAGACTCAGAAAAATGCTAAGCACCAATCCTTCAAAAGTTATAAAATAAACTTTAAAAGAATGCCATTACCTGATACCGCCCACACATGGTGCTGGGTGGTGTAGACCGACGACTGACCTAAGTCCTAAAGTTTGGCGTATTGGCATACATACTTAGTCGAGGACTCACATTAGCGCCTCCATGCTTGAACGAAGCAACTAACCCTTCTGATCAGAAACTTTGAAATCACTTTCCAAACACGACATTAAATGGATAGGCAGGTGGCACTAATTGATCTTCCTCGGATTACAGCGATCATTGTGTTCTCTAACTAGGATTTAAATGAAATTTACAAGTGAATTAAATTAAAAGTCATGATTCAACAAACACTTTTCATGCAAAGTTTACAAAGCCGTCACTAAAATTATGAATCGTGGTTTAAACCCTAATTTCCAAACAAAGCTGAGTACTAGGTGATTATAAAGCTCTGATTACAATTTGAAACCGTACATTTGAAATTGGATATAGAACCCTAACTGTGCACAAGCCATCTCGAATCATAGAAGCGAAGGTTGGGGGGCAAACAGGAAAGAACAGAGAGAATAAAAGTAATTCACCTGAGAACCGTAATTCCGATGTAGAAGATCGTCACGGTGAACTCAACCTCCTTGCCGTCGGAGGATGATCGATTCCGACAAGAAAGGAAGGGTTTTACAGCAGATCATTTTTACATTTCCAAACAGCGCTCTTTGTGAGTAAGTATTGAGTGTATCGGTTCCATCACGTCAGCTTTGTTATACAGTCTCACCCATGCAATGCATGGGATTATAACCCATTATTTTTTTTTGTTATTTTTTCCTTATCATTTTTTTTTTCTTATTCTTATATTTGAAAAGTTAGATATAAAATTATTAGGTAATAAAAATAATTTCTTAAATAAATTTAAATAAATGATGAATAGTTAATAGGGATAGAGATGGGAAGTTAGTTAAAAATAACATGAGTAAAACTATTATTTGAAGAAATTTTTAAAATTTAATTAAATCTATATAATAAAATATAACATTAAAAATGACTTATTTTTGTTTAATATCGTTTTAAATTTTACTTTAAAGTTACTTAGATAAATTATATTAATTTTTTCAAAATTAAAAAATAAATAAATAAATAAGATCCTAAGAGTGTTTAAATGACTTTTCAAATATATTNTACAAAGCCATCACTAAAATTATGAATCGTGGTTTAAACCCTAATTTCCAAACAAAGCTGAGTACTAGGTGATTATAAAGCTCTGATTACAATTTGAAACCGTACATTTGAAATTGGATATAGAACCCTAACTGTGCACAAGCCATCTCGAATCATAGAAGCGAAGGTTGGGGGGCAAACAGGAAAGAACAGAGAGAATAAAAGTAATTCACCTGAGAACCGTAATTCCGATGTAGAAGATCGTCACGGTGAACTCAACCTCCTTGCCGTCGGAGGATGATCGATTCCGACAAGAAAGGAAGGGTTTTACAGCAGATCATTTTTACATTTCCAAACAGCGCTCTTTGTGAGTAAGTATTGAGTGTATCGGTTCCATCACGTCAGCTTTGTTATACAGTCTCACCCATGCAATGCATGGGATTATAACCCATTATTTTTTTTTGTTATTTTTTCCTTATCATTTTTTTTTTCTTATTCTTATATTTGAAAAGTTAGATATAAAATTATTAGGTAATAAAAATAATTTCTTAAATAAATTTAAATAAATGATGAATAGTTAATAGGGATAGAGATGGGAAGTTAGTTAAAAATAACATGAGTAAAACTATTATTTGAAGAAATTTTTAAAATTTAATTAAATCTATATAATAAAATATAACATTAAAAATGACTTATTTTTGTTTAATATCGTTTTAAATTTTACTTTAAAATTACTTAGATAAATTATATTAATTTTTTCAAAATTAAAAATAAATAAATAAATAAGATCCTAAGAGTGTTTAAATGACTTTTCAAATATATTTATATAATTTATGACTTTTCATAAGAATTTTTTAAAAAATAACTTTTGGAACAATTTATTTTAATTACTTCCAAAAATAGTCAAAAATAATTTTATCACTTTAATAAATAAGTAAAAATTTTAAAAAAAAATAATTTTTTAACTTTTTTAAATAATTTCTCTATAAAACATTTCACCATCACCACCGCTGCCACCCCCACCACCACAAAACACCACCACCATCACCATCACCATCACCCACCACCGATTGGTACCACCACCACCCACCTCTACACAATAGCAAAGAGGAAAATGCTCTAGCTTTCCGTCTGAGTTTTGGCACCGACTTTTTGAGCACATACTCAAGTAACTCATGTAGAAAGTTCAGAAACAATTTTGATGTCAAAGATGAAATACCCATCTCTTCTCACTCTGCTTGTAATAACCTCATTTAGACAAAAAAGAAAAGGCACAAAATCATCACCACCCACCACCCCGGGCAGGGGGGCGGAAAGGCACGGCACAAAGTCTTTGAAAATGACATGCATTGCAAAAGGGCATTAGCAGAATTTTTTGACATAAAAAATACAGGGAAAAACAGAGGCGTTGAATGAGTTATTTACACAATATACAAATGAGAGGGAGCATATCTAGGCCAAGCCGCGTTTCCCACTTCATCACCTACAACTTACCAATCTTCAATTTCATCATCAGAAGTCTCAATGTTTGTATCATCCAAAGTGATGCTACCAAAATCTTCATCCACAACCACGTTGCTCTCCATCAGTGCCCGGTTGGCTTCACAATTCTCAGATGCTCTATAACCAAGCCATTTAAGGATAGGTTTCCACTCCATAGCAATAACCGAAAGATCAGAAAAGTTCAGGCCATTATAAGCAACACACCTCTGGCTCACCATGTCATCCTGCATTCCCATCCAAATTCAGGTGAGGTAATCATAATGGTCATACATACAGATTGTAACTTGCCAGGCGAAGATCAAACCAGATTACAATTTATTTGGACATCATTGCCAAAGTAAATTGGAAGTCAAATAAATTGCTTCAACAATTCCTGTCAACTGTGATAATAAGGACTGTAGTAATCTAGCTTAAAAGGGCAGTTTCATCGAGGAAAACAAAATCATGACTAGAGATAATTTTCATGCAGTGATCCCAAAATCAAACAATGTACCTCACGTGATTTTCTATGCATTTCAGAAAAAGATCTATCACTCCAAAATATGCAGCATAATTATATTAGTTACTTCTACAACTACTAACAGGGAATTCTGAGGAACATAGGCCCAAACAGGCGAAAGAGATCGCTCTACGAAGCCCCTTCAAGCCATCACCAGAAAACTTATTAGCAACACGGCTTCACAAAATATTCTCATTTATTCTGCAATTTTGAAGGTACTTTTTTCAGGGTGCACTTAGAAATATTCACTTCCACATTTGAATGGAAACAGCATTTAGATTTGTCAGGAACATAAGGCAATAATTCAAAAACCAAAGACAGTGATCGCAGAAGAAATTTGACAGCATGAAACCAACCTTGTTGTGCCGTAATGATTGCTCAATCTGCCAAAGTTTTGGCCGGCGAATAGCATGCCACCTAAATGGTCAGAAGAATGTGGGACAATTCTCAACAGAATCATAATTGAAACGATTTTTTTTAAAAAAAAATAACAAGATTACTAAATCATACCTGGAAGACAATGGATGAGAATTCCCAAATAATACACCACGCACAGAAACTGAAGCAGCAGCAGATTGTACAACATTCTCTGCCTCAAAGTTTCTAGTTTGCATTCCACTAAGTGAAGTAAGAAGGAAGTCAGCGTCACTTAGATAAGAAGCCATGACCCATGCATCATCTATCGCTTCCTCACTCAGAAAATCTAGAACTGCATTAGAATTGAAAATGAGAACCACAGAATGTTAAAACTGCCCATGAATCAATTTAACAACAAAATTTTCACATTATCTCTCATCGTGTGCATAAACCCAAGTGCATACTTATACTTCTGACTTTGATATCTTACTCTCTACTCTTTTTTCTTTTAAAATCTCCTGATTCCAAGCCTATTTTCCATCTTTGCAAGATGGCTTTAATCTAGTGGCAAGCAGGCAGTTCAAACACTTAAATTAAGGAATTGTACCTTAGACTATTTTTGACAGTGATTCTTTTCTTTCAAGCAGAGAAAAATGACTTACTAAAGAATCATATGGAGAAATGCACAATCCACCAACGCAAAAACCTCTTTTACTCTACACATTTATTGGAAACCCCTGTGCCAACGTCTACGACTGACAACAAAACCAAGTGAAGGAGTTATCCTGGGAAAAAAAAATCAAGATCCTCTGATAAAATGCCTCCTCCAGACTTTCTAGGTTAAATGTGTCTTGCTTCTCCACCATAGGCATGGTGAATTGGACCATGGCTTTCACAAGTTTCCTGAATTAGTTCCCAAAATATAAGATCATCTTGCAAGTGTCAATTGGCCAATCAATCCAAGCTTGATGAACTTGGATTGTTCAAGATTATGCAAAATCTGAAAGATATTTGTTTCCAATTCTGCACTTTCATAAAACTGGGGTACGTTAGGGAAACAACATACTAGCTTTTTCGACAAGCTTTGGTCATTGAATCAAGCTATCATGAGAACAGGCAAACATAACCAACAGCCATTAGGTAATAGGCAAATCACATTTCACTATTGTTTTTGAAAGGCCACCTTTAATTTTTTAAGCTAAGCTTGGATATGGCTTCAACTTAGCCAAATTGTTATATCAAACCACGACCACTACCCCAAAGTTGAATGTACGTGTGTGTGTGTGTGTGTGTGAGAGAGAGAGAGAGAGAGAGAGAGAGCAATGAATTTCCAATAACATTATGTTCAAATTATATGATTTTATAAGTATAGGAACAAATTTTATCCATTTAAGAACCCAATGCTTATTGCTTATGCAATGGTATAATGATTCACAATTAAATCAAACCTTCAACAAATAGTGTTCATCCCATTTCCTCATTCAGAAATCAAAATAATTCACTTATCCAGAAATCACAAAAATTCACATCATAAAGCATTCACATGGCATATATAATATGATAAGTAGAGAACAGCCCTCGAGTTAGCACAACACGACACAAATGGAAAAGTGAGTGGAGACACATTACCATTTTCATGTAGAAAATCGGCAATAGGTCTCGCTTGTCCATGTGCCTGACAGAGAACCTTTTCTGGAGCATCCATTTTCAGAGGTAATCTCACATATCTTTCCCTCAAACGAACCGCATCTTTGTCCACTACAAAATAGCAACGAGCTTAAACAATAAGGTTATAGCAATGATTAAAAAAACTGAAAATAAGCTAGAAAAGGAAGATGTACAAGTAATGTTTTAAGCATTTGGCAACAGCAGTTCGCATCTCAGTTTACAAGTAGATAAAGATGAGCTCAAAATTGACTACTGAGGGTAGATTCTAAACAACTACACATAGAACAAGAACTTTTGACGTGATGTCCTTCATGAACCCCTGGAAAAAAATCATTCTTTTTTTCTGCGAAAGGGCAGAAGAATGGGACCTAAAATGGAACACGCAATGTGTTACAGGCGTATGATCATTACGATGCAACTGGGTCATTCTATTCCACATCTTAGAAAGAAAAAAACTCAAATCAAATTGACAGCACGGTGATACATTTATACAAAACTTCTATCCTAAGAACAGCCAATGGAGTCACAAATGAAATCCAATCTGTGAACCATTTAATCTACTGAAAGCATCGTTACGGTAGATATCATAATGCTTGAATTGTAAAGGAAGTGGCATTCAAATACCATACTTGAAGATTCCTTGGAGATTTCCTTTCATTGTAGTCCAAAAGATGGTTGCAGTTACACAAGTGAAATATTTGGAAACAGCATCCATCTACTTTTCTTCTCTAACTGACAATACCATGCTCTATAACAATCGGGCATCTTATTGTTCAAGCAAGTGGTGTGTGTCTCAAAGAAAATGTTCAGTAAGCAAACAATAATACTCCTCTTGTAGGCACAGTTCCATTTTGTTTCAATAGCCTTTTACGGCAAAAGGGATTTTGTCATCTCATACAAAACCTACCAAAGTATTGTCACAACTTTTGTCATCTCATGAACTCAAAAAGATGAGAATATTATTAGCAACAGTTGAGAAAAGCAATAAAGCATTTGGTTTGCAAACGCAACGAAGTCATTGCAAAAAATGAGGTCAATTTGGATAGTCATGCCACCCAAAACATGCAAAAAGTAAATGAGTTACCTAATCTAGCCAATATTAGGCAACTCTACTGGCAGTACCTAACTTTTCGCATGTAGAAGAACATAACCACACTGCTGATATCAAGAATAACACTATCACTCAGCTTTGTCATGGCACATAACTAAAACTCACATTGCAAGTTCATTCAAGATGTACCTGATGCAATGGAAACATCAGTCTCTCTTTTATTGTGTAGAAATTTTCCCAAGGCATGAAATAAAGAGAGTGTTTCGTCTCTGCCAAATGGTAAAGAAAATCCATCATTGAAACTATTGATTTCATCTGATCTCTCCTTTGAAGAAGTAAGAGTGTTATTGGAAACAATCAAAGGGAGCATCCGATGTGGTTTCAGACAGAAGTACTGTACAGACATAATTGAATGTCTAATATCCCCTCCACTTGCTTTCGCTATTAAATCAATTTGTTCAGCAGTCACTGCACACTGCTCCTCGCTGCATATTTTGGAAAGTGTTTTCTTGATGGAATTAACAGTAATAGGATTGAAAGCCACCTGAAAGGTTCATAGTAATTCAACATGAACATGCACTAAACAAGATATCCAATTTCAAACCAAGTACGTTATAAAAACCACCTTACAAACCCCAGCACCCAGAAGAGACAACTGAAGTTCTTCCCAACAGCGCGTGCTGTAGTCTGCAGAGTCATCTTTACCATAGTCCGTGATCAATATGCCTGTTGGAATAGAAATTGATTGCACAAGAAGCTGCAAGCATCTGCGAAGTCTTTCATAAGCAACCTTTCCATTTATCACTGGAAGATCTTCAATCAAGAGTATGGTTGATTTCTTAGAACCTCCAGTACAAGATGAGGACACTATTCCATACTTTCTTATCCTATCAACAAAACTTTCAAACTCATCCAACTTCGACATGTAACGTACCCCTAACAGACAATAACTGAATGTCAAAACTAAATAAAAAAGATAAAAAGAAAGAAAGAAGAAGAAGACAAGAATGGGGAAAGCACTTAGAGTGAGATCAATTGTTGTCTCCACCCTTCTGTGCGCATTTTCCGTATTTGTGAGTTGACAAAAAAAAATATTTGAAATATCTGAATTTGAATCGACAAAAGACTATTTCAAATACCTGAATTGGAATTATGCAAATGTTCCTGCCACATTGTGGGAGTGGGTGTGTTCCATTCACATAGTGTGGCTCCAAGATGAGATGCAATCACATTGATGGTCGCCTACAAGATGATAAAGCATCCAATGATCATTTCAGGTAATGTTAAGCACCCAACGAGTCATTTCAAGTACTGCAATGCATTATTCTAGAGTTAATGGAAACATAATCCTCTCAAATTTCTATGAACATGCTCAAAACATTGATAAATGGAAGAGCGCGGTGACAACGTACAGATTTTCCAACTCCAGCTTGTCCAGTGATGAGAAGCACATGATTGCAAAATTCTTCCTGCATTCAAGGATAAATCAATATTGAAGGTCCACAAGGCAACAACACACACAAAATCTTATCATGCACATTATCGCCATTCACAGAAATGACCAAGTATCCTAACAACAGTTCAAATTAGTACAGATTTAGCATATGCTTATAATGATGAAGAAAAATGACCAGGACAAGAAAGACCCCAAATGGTAACCAGTACGTTCAAGAAGCGCCATACAGGAAATAATGCACAAAGGGCAGAGAAAATAACATGTTGATAATACTTGATATGATCCAGTTCAAATAAGAAAGGAGCCTCCACTTGGGAAATACAAGATAATGAGTTGGCGTTCCTCGTATAAAAGGATTCAAGAAAGGCTGTCTCCTACTCTCTCAAAGATTATGCATAGGACAAGGTCTTTTCACCATTAGCAATTCTTCCTTCTATACACACAGTGTATGTCTTTCTTCCCTCAACAATTTCCTTTAGATATGTACACTAAAAAACAACCAAACTAAAAATAAAAGAATAGGAAAATCTCTAACATACAAACAAACAAACAAATCTACCATTGCTATGGTAAATTCAATGTGCTGTGTACTTCACAATGCTTACACACCCTTACTTTCAAGCAAAGCTTGCATGCTGCTTCTGTTCCAACTTTTAAGAGGTATTCTGAATATCTCAAAATTAAATACTTTGGAGGCCAATAAATGTTATTATTGAATTTGTCTTTTAATTGTTGCCCTCATCTACCTAGACTCATTATCAACGACATAACCAGGACCATCTCGTTTTTAGCATTGATATTTCTCTTGTAATAGACACACCTAAAGGTCCTAGTTCCCCAATGCCCTATTATAATCGTTATCTGTCACAATTACCATCACAGCATCTTCATTTGATTGTCATAAAACTGATTTAACTTATCCAAAGTAACATGGGTCAAAAAGTGGATAAATCATAATACTTATTCACGGCACATCAAATAGCATCTCAAGATTCAGGGAAGCCCACTCTCAATGTAAGCAAAACCTCTACCGGCAAAATTCTAGAGTTATTTACTAAAGTACAGCTATTTTAAAACATATACACCGAAATACGGCACTTTTAAATTTATTTACCAAACTACGGCACTTTTTAAGAGGATTCAATAAATTTGCTTTATTAAAAAACAGAGTCAACAACCCCTTTTTTATATATATAAAAATTGGGTTATGGGAAAAGTATGTTTAGTAAACACACTTTCTACTTTTTTCCTGCAAATCGTGTTTACTAAACACGCTTTTCACACCAAAAAAAAAAAAAGAAAGTCGCTGGTTCAAATAATTGTATTCCACCATCACATACACAAAAAATTTAGGTCCAACTATATCACAAAACATTTGACCGCAAACTAGAGAGAAATGGATCTCAATGCTCTTCACATTGTATTCCTCTATTAGATACACAATAAGGTTCGAAAAAATTGAAACCCACCATCCTTCCGCTGCCAAGGACAGACCCCCATGGTTGCTGCTTTTCAAAAAAAAATCATGGCTATTATATGAGGATACAAGTAGGATACGGGGAAAAAAATCAGTTTCATACTAAAAATAACATATAGTCATTGATCCTCAAATGATTCATTTATAGTCATAACATAAGATAACCTGACATGGGTTGTACTCTTATTGGATTAAAAAGAATGAATGACACCGAAAAATAAATTTTGTATGTTATAATTGGACCCAATATTTTTTTTTTTTTTTTGTGTGTGTGTGTGAGAGAGAGTGAGAGAGAGACCTCATATTATATGAGGATTCAAGTGAAATATTCATTATGCAAATTAAACTGCAACTTTTTTAACAACATGGCTGATTCAGAGATGAAGGATGAGTTAAAGAGTTTGTTGGGTACAAAGATATCTTTTGTGAGAAAAGCGTGTTTAGTAAATATGCTTTTCAAAAAAAGGGTAAAAAGCGTGTTTACTAAACACTACCACTGCCCAAAAAATGTTTTTTTAACAAAAATGGATTTGCTGACTCCGTTTTTTAACAAAAGCAGACATAGTTTGGTAAATAAGTTTAAAAGTATCGTATTCTATATATTTTAAAATAGCTGTACTTTAGTAAATAACTCCAGAATTCTATGATCAATTCTCAAAGCTATGGTAACCGAGTAAAGCTAACTCTAAAAAAGTAAACACATTACAAACAATCAACCATTTTGTTATCCATGTTAATATGCCAACTGAATATTCAACCCACATACATTGCAAGTGTAATTCTTTTCAAACTTATTATCGGATTCATATAAAATGCAGATCGCAAATCTATTGTTGCTTTAGTTATTTGAGGACCTGATTATACATTCCCGTCTAAATATCCAAAATTTAATAGAGCGAAAGAAAGAAAGACAATAAAGCTAAAATGTCATTGCAACAGTTTCCATGCCAACAACAGTACCCTTGCAGTTCTCAATCTTTCCTCAAACCACGATTTAACTTCTTCAACCTGCAAAAAACAAAGATGGAAAAACATCACTTCTGCAATGATAGTGTTGAATCCAAGCAATATAACTCTACCTTCTTTTTATTAACAGCAAGCTCTTCCAGAGAACGAGGCTTATATTTGTCAACCCATAAGTCCTTGTTGCTCTGTCCATGACCTAATTGACATTTTCACATCATCTCAGTTCTAGAGGAGCCAAAGATAAACAAGAAGGTAAAAAGAGAAAGATTTCTGTAAACAAAGTAAAGAGACTGGCAGAACAGAGATTTAAGATGTGATAAGTGGACATTTCAATTATACCAAGTAAACCTGGGAAAATAAATACAGAAGCACAACATCAGAAAACACCACCAGACCAAATGCGAACAATTGAAATTGACTGAACTTAAAACCAAAAAGTGGTAGATGCAACTGCATGCCTGGGTGTTATGAGTAGCAATCAAATTATCAAAATGCGGGATTTAACTTGATCAAAAAGAATGCAACATGTTGTACATGAGGTAACCCTATTTGTACATCATGAAATGGTTAAAGCAATATTCTGGCATCAAATATTTTTCTTTTGATAGGCTGTGAAGTAGTTAATAGGCAAGAAAAGCAAGCATGAAATGTCATGCCCTATTCTGTAAGAAGAATAAGCAAAAGATGCAAAAGGAAAAAAAAATTGCAACATCGAAAACTAAAGCCATAAGAATAGCATACCAGCAGATACCTTGAACACAGTAAACCCTTCATCAAAATCCTCACAAAATCGTCTTATCTGCACTAATGAGCATCAAATTTCAGGTTCAATGTACTCAAACAAAAGCAAGAATGAGATGGTAACCTTATATCAGATATGAGAAGAAGCTCAGAAAAAAGCGGAGCCTATTATTAAACCCAATAACACACTACAATAAACTGACAAATCGCACAATCACATCTAAACATGGCCTTATACCATAACTTGCACCAAAGTTCATCATTAAGAACTCAGAAATTACAGAGACTAATTTAGAACCTAGCACTACATTAACATAACACGAGAAATTGTCGTCACTCAAAAGTTCAGCATTATACAAACGTACCCAAAAATGAAAACTTTAATCCGCTAAACCAAACCTAAAACTAACTCAAAGTTGTAGACCTTTATCTCAAGCTCAGGTGTCAAAAACTATGTCAACTTCGAAAATAATGTAGCTAGTGGAGAAAAAATTGAAGTATACCTCATCAAAACCATTAGATTCTTCACATAGTCGGTAACCAGGATTTGAAAGAGGCGCTTTCTTAGCCCTCTTAGGGTTTACTCGAGGAACGGAAGAGCGTCTTGATTTCGATATAGATTTCGAATAGCTCAAATTAGAACTCATCGAAAAATGTTTATCGTCATCGTCCGATGATGAAATGACAATGGCGTTCCTCTTCCCCATCACCACCAATGAATGAAGAGCCTAACTATTTGGAACTTTGTGCGTCGATGACACGATCATAGCCACAAAAATTGCAAGCAACTACTAAACCCTAGTAGAGTGAAACTTCCACTGATACCATGTAGTGGTTATCAATTGAAAAATCAACAATCGAAACGGGAATAAAAATCTTTGTCAGTTGCAGTTTTTAGTGTGTGTGTGTGTTTAGGTTCGAAAAAAACGCGGGTGTTTTCGGGGATTTGAGTTAGCGTTGCTGAGAAGCCTGATGATCTGTTTGGTACGAAGGAATAAAAGAAGAAAGGAAAAAAAAATTGGAAGGAAAATTTTTCATATTATTTTTTCTGTTTTTTGTTTAATAGGAAAAATATATTTTTTACCATTTGATATTACATGAAAAATGAAAAGAAAAGAAAAGAAAAACTTGCCTACATCGAATTAATTATTATTTTAAGATAAATCTAAAATAATTCAACCCAAATATGAATAATGTGACTTGATTGCCATTTCTATCAATATTCATGAAATAAATAGGCCTAACTACACAAAAAAAAAAAAAAAAAAAATTGCTTACTTAAAAAAATAAGACTATGGAATCGCAGAGGTACTGTGTTGAAATTAATTTGGAGGAATTAATTTTACTTTTGAATATTTTATAACTATTAATTAAAAATTGACAAAAAGATAAATTGATAAAAAAATAATATAAAAAGAATTTACAATGTGGTACATTTTACTGGATAAAAAATACAAAACTAAAATTGAATCTTGAATAATATTTTGTTATTCCTGAATTATAAATTTACTTCAATGGCAGGTGTCAAAATAGTGTGTCATTTTAATATTTTTTATTAAAGTATTTTCAATTTCACGAATACTTTCATAGCAATCAAACTTAATACATAGTTTTTCATAAATAATAGCAACATAATAAATAATAACTAAAAATTAAAAAATAATAACAACATAATAAATAACGACTAAAAATTAAAACTCCCCTTTTTCATAATTTCTATCTTCAAATTATTCCAATATGCTACAGAAATTGAGTCCATGTCAGTAGTGTCAGTTTTTATGATTTTTATTTCATTCTGCATTTCATTTTTTTGCACCTGTCTTTCTTCAATTTCTAATTGTGTACGATGTTGTTCCAATGATATCTCCTGTTGAGCATAAATTTTGTCGTATTGCTCAACTTTTTGTCGTTCGACTTCCATTCTTTGATTTCAGTAGTGATGATCTAATGATACTTTAACACCATATTGTTTCTCTTTGTTTTTAAGTTATTTTTTGGAAATCTTTCTGCCTAATAGCCTATCGAGGTTGAGAGTGGGCGAGAGATCAGTGTCATCCCTTAATATATGGAGTTGAATAGCAAAATTCAATATGATTTTATTCAATAGGACTACTAGTTGAATGAATTTTTACTTTCTTATTGTTGGTGAGATTATCAATCCATTTTCAATATATTATGACAATGCTCATATTGAAATGGTTTTCCAATGATCTTAGCAAACATTTCTTTTATTTCATCAACCTGAAAAACATACGAAATCATTCAGTCAATAATTCAAATATCAAATCATAGTAGTGTCTATCTAAAAAAGCTCAATCATTACATTATTTTGCTCGGTGTGTTCACTTTATCTCAGTCTTTCAATTTGATTATAAAAATTGACAAATTTGTCACATTTTGCATTTATATCAGTCCAACGGCTTTTAATAGAAAATTGTAAATGCTCTTCTTGATTGTCTCCATGAAGTTCTAAATATTTCAATATTATTTATTAAAAAGCACCACTTTTTTGTTCATTTCTAGTAATTGCATATTTACTCGTGTTAAGTCACACAGATACAATTAATTTATCTTCTTCTAAAGATAAGCTCTTTGTTCTTTGCGATTTTCTCACTCTTGGAGTGGATTCGTTTTGTACTGCCACCAATGCTGTGGATTGGTCTACATAGCATCATCATATAAATCGGTGTTGTTCATAAGCAAATCCGTGAAAAAATCGTCAAATTGTGAATCCATCTTAAAAAAAAAATTATAATCAATTTAAAGGTAAGATAAAATAATCAATCCAAAAAAATTTAATGGTGTAATATGACAATAAAAAAAAATTAATGGTGTAATATGACAATATAAAAATATTTAATATATAAATTGAGAATACAATAAACTTTTGGGGTACAAGATGTCATTTGCCCTAAAATAAATAGTACCAGAAATATCATCAGAGACAAATTGGAGATAAACGATCATCAGACCCTACCACCTTCCCCTTCCCTTTCCCCCTGTGATTTAGACCCTTCCCTTTCCCCATCCCTTTGTTCCTATGCGCCTCCTTCCAATGATTGAAAAAAAATCAGGAGCAGAGAGCTTACTCATGAGCAGGAGCAAAATTAGAAACAGAGAATCTCGTTCCAACGATTGAAGAAAAATCAAGTCAATTTTCTTTTCAAAATCTCTATATTTGTAGAAATTAGAGCCGTTGAAATTGAACAGTATAATTTACAACTTCTCCCTTTCTCTCTCCAGGGTTGTCAAAAATGTCACCCCACGACCCTTGATGTCATTTTGCAACCCCTGATGTCACCCCCATTAGGGTCCAATTTTTTTAATTTGGGGTGACATCTTAGCAGTTATGGGGATGTCACCCCTAATGGAAACTCCCTTTTGTGTTGCTCTTAAAAAAAAATAGTGAGTTTCACATTGCTAACATTATCAAGAGTACTATGCACGATATGAGTAAACAATAGGGCATAATAGTAATTTGACTTACACCTAATCGGTAATCAATATCCCATTTTCTCTCTCACTTTCTACCTAAAAAACGAATGGAAAAAAAATGGCGGCACAGAGGATTAAGTTTCTTTTTCATTTTTCTTTTTATTGCGTTTTCTTCCAAATCTTTCCTTCTTCTCTATTTTCCTCCCTCTATTTTACATTCACCTTTCTTTCTATCATACCAAGCACAACCTGATAGAAGTGGGAATATGTTGCATCGTATTGGTAGACCATTGAGATCACCTTCACGCACGCTTTTTTCTTTTGGATAAATTTTACTCACACCCTCTAACATTTGATTTTATAACATAGACATTCCTCACATTTCAAAAATAATGTTGAGACCCCAATAGGTGGAAAATGTTAACAGTAGTACTAAAAAGACTACTTTACCCTTAAATAATTTATTAAATCCATGGCCAAATCCAAACTTACCGCCCAATATCTAAGTCAACATTTTATGACCTGTAACTTATGACCTAAGAACCCTCTGTGTCTGAAGCACCCTTTCTAATCCCCACCCAACATGCACCACCCCCTTTTTCCTCTTCCCTGACACCACCCCCCGACCTCTACTATTCACAATCGCTACCCATCTCTCACATTCTTTCTATATATATATATATATATATATATATATATATCTCCTTCTCACTGTACGTGGCCTTCAACACCTCCAACTTCCTCTCAATCTCTCTCTCTCTGCTTCCTACACATAGTCACTTTAAGAGATATTGCGATGCTGGGTGATTTTGAAACTCGAACCTCAACGATAGAATTAACTCTCATCTCTCTACCTTGTTGATCTATTTTTGTGAAGGTGGATGATTTTGAAACCTTAACCTCTGCGAGAAATTAATTCCCTTTACTTTATCTTTTCTAATCTGTTGCAAATGGTGGGTGAAGATGGTTGGTACTGATTACGGTGGTAGTTTTCCAAGTTAGGGATTTTGATGGGTTGTTTGAAGGAGGAGAAATGTGTATTTTGAGTGGTTGGCTCAAATATAGGAGGGGATGGATGCGGATTTGGATGGGTTTGTGTGTTGGGGTGGTGGGCATAAGCATTTCTGTGGTGATTTCTATAGTGGATGTTTTGATGAGTGGTTCAAAGGGTATATTGAATGGCCGACTCTAAGGTATAAAAGGAGGGATAGGGATTTTGATGGGTTTATGTAGTGATGGTGCTGGTTTGTGGTGCGTGTTACAATTTAGTTGATAGGATTAAATAATGTGCAAAAAAAAAGGATGCAATGTTAATAATGTTCAGAAGATATATTGCTATTACAAATTTGAAATGTCAATGCTAATATATTATAGGATAGGGGTGTCTATGGACTGGATTACCCACGGATCTCGTTATCCGACCTCGAAAAAATAAGTCTGAAACTCNTTGAAATGTCAATGCTAATTAGGATAGGGGTGTCTATGGACTGGATTACCCACGGATCTCGTTATCCGACCTCGAAAAAATAAGTTTGAAACTTGATAAATCCGATACTTGGCCCGTCCGTCTGATCCCAATATCCTTAAAATAAGGGTTTGGACTTGGCCCCAAATCCATTACCCAGTTCGAAAACACGGCCCAATATCCCACTAGCAAAAATCTGACTCAATAACTATCCCGCCCACCATTTCTTTGAAAAAAAATTAAACTATTAGAAATTTAAAATTTTGAAATAAGTCTCCAATGCCAAAATTTGAAGTTTTAGAAATTTAGGTACTATAAATAATATATTATTTTATTTTCTATGTATTAGGCATACACGTTTTAAAAGGTAGAGTTGTGCAATTGATAAATAAGTGGGTAGATGTCAATTTAGTTTGGATGTGTTCATTCTATTGTGACGTAGTTCCTCCCCTATTTAAAAATATAATTTATAAAAATATCAAGTTATAAAAATAATCTTTATTTTTAAATGAAGTTATATATAAAAAAACCACAAGCTGCTCCACCCAATAGGATCGCAGGTAACCTACTCCTACCTGTAGTCCGGCCCGACTCGCCTAATAACTTATATGAATAAGGGTTTGAGCCTACACTACCCATATCCAACTTGAAAAAAATTTCACGGGGCCTACCCTAGCCTGGCCCATGGACACCCTTAATATAAAGTAAATAAAATTAACATAAATATCAATAAATATTATTTATTAACTTTTTTTAAAATTAAAATCTCCCCTCCAAAATAGAAAAAAAAATTGCACATACCCCTTAAAAACTAGGAAAAATTGCACCTAAACTCTCTGAAATTTGTTACTTAATAACTTAAGTCTCATAATATTTGAAATATTATACATAGACCTCATCAAATTTGTACATGTATAATACTTAAACTCTATAGTCAATGTCCGTTCTAATATTTATTAGTAAATTAAACCTAGACCGTTAAAGTTTGTAGGTGTGTAATACTTATACCTCTAAAATTTAAAATATTATACTTCTGCCATTTATTAATTCCGAAACTAACGAAATCTATTAAATGACAAAAATTACCCCAATTAAATATAGAATATATTGAGTCAATTATAGTTATCCACCTTATTTAATTTTTTAGTTTTATTCAAATAAACAGTATAATTATATACAAACGAGTGTTGAATTGAGTTATTTGATATATTTATATTTATTACTATTTTTTCCTAAAAAAAAAATAGAATTTTATTTGATTTTTATGTCAATAGATAATATAATGGAACATGCAAATGTGTTGATTAAACTTATTTGATACATTTGTATCTGATGAAGATAAAAAAGTCCATTTAGTCCAAATCCGACTCATCATGTTAAGAGCTCTAATTTGAATAGAATTCTATATATTATGAATAAGTTAAATTTAATTACACAAATAACATCAAATTAACTTACAAAGATAAGAACTTAATCCTTATCTTTCTAACTAGACCTTTAATCATTATTCCTACACAATTCAAGTTGCCGAAAACTTCTATAAAACATAGCTTTGTTGATGTTCCAATTATACCACTCCTAGTTATTAAACACAGTTCATACATTTGAGTCACTTATTGATTTAAACATGAGAGAGTCAACTCCCAAAACTCTCCTCAGGTCTTTGACTTCTTTTTTAGGTGATTGAAGTCCAATAAACTAATGTGGAGGTCATCCAAATTTTGCATCAACAATATTAATTATATATTTTTTTAGAAAAAAATAGATTTTTATTTATATCTATATTACTTATAAATGTCAGTATGTATGAAAATATTTTAATTTTATATTTTTTCTCTAATTATTATAATAAAGTTAATCATACTCATTTACATACTTTCAAGTAATTTTTATTTTTTACTTTTATTTGACTTTTAACTTATTTTGGACACTTTTATAAAGACTCATAAATTTTTTTGAACTCATTTATTAGAGTATCTCCAACCTTGACTCAAATGTAAATTTAGAATTTAAATTTGAGTTAAAATGACCAAAAATACTTCTCTAACCTTGGACTCAAACCTATATCAAATCAAGACAAAATTTATTCTAGACCTAAATTGAAACATGCTCAAATTCTATACCAAATTTCTAACATAAACTTTTTAACCATCCAAAACTAAAAGACTTATTTGATGATTTGTTCTCTACCTCTTCTTGCATCTTTCTACAACACTGCTTCCATCATTGACCACCACCAAAACTTTCACAAATCATTTGAAGGCCTGTCGGTAAGTTTTTTTTCTTTTCCTTCCACTTTCTTGATTTCTTGTATTTTTCAAACCTCTAATTGCAATCATCTTTTATACTATATAGACCACAAGCCTATTCATTAAATTTTTCTTTAATTTTTTCGAGTTAAACATTACCAGTAGTACAAATTTAGACTACCGATTCTTCCTAAAATTTTAATCCTTCACTACTCATAAGTTTAGAAAATTTATCATTTTATTTCTTCAATCTTCTATTTTTGTTAAAAATGTATTTTTTTTTTGTGTTCTTCAAATCAGACCCAGGTCAAAATAGTTATATTTTTTTTCCTTTATTTGGATTTATAAAAAATGATAAATGATTAAAATAATCTTAAAATTATGGGGTGGTTTCTTTATTCTCATATAGTGTTGTATACATATTCATTTTTTTTTTTTGAATTGCCTATTTGTGACGAAGTATGAAAGTTTCATTTATTTTATTAAATATCATGATTTGAATAATAATAAAAAAAATATTTTGGAACAATAAATGATTTTTTTAAAAGATTTGAGTAGATATCGAAGTTTGTTCATTGGAATACTCTATACCAAATTAAATTTTTTACTCAAATTTGAATCATTGTTGAAAAAACGCTTACTAGTACACTTACATACAATATTCTATATCTATATGAATAAGTAAAGTCATGTATATATTAAATTATTATATATATGTAATTATTAGATTAGATTTCACAGTCAAATATATGTTATATTTTATTTTTTAGTATATAATAATATTATAAATATTCTAATTAATTTATATAACAAAATAAAAATTAATAATCCTATAATATAATTAGCTGTGCAAATACCTAAAACAAATAACAGATTAAGTACTAAAATAGAAAAAGTACTCAAAGACTTACAAAATAAACTAATAATTAAATTTAATAATAATTAAAATATAAATTAATTATTCAACATCAAATTTATTATTTAATATAAATACACATAAAATTCACCTTTTAAAAAAATTATTATTTAAATGTATTTTCGTGCATTTAGTATCTGACTGAAGTATTTTTGGTATAATTTTAATGTTTTAAAATTGAGAAATTTAAGTATTATATATTATATATTTTATATTTTAAATTTTTAAATATAATTTACTAATAAATATATTAACAAAAAGACACGCGTATATAAAGATTAGAGAATTTAAATATAACATTTTAAATATCAAAAAATTTAGGTGATTAAGATATGAATATAATTTTTTTTAAAAACTATTTTTACGGGACCCAACTTAAACTGTGTCCCGCGCCCACCATCACTACCCCTTTTGTTTTGTTCAGTCCCACCTACCACCGCATGCCTCTCGCTGACTCTCTCATATGCTCCTCCCTCGCTCTTCGCACACCTAACCACCAAATGTAAGCAAAATTATTCAGAACACACCCACGCCACATTCTTCTTCTCTCTCTCCTCCCAATCAACCTCCATGGCTTCCACTTCCTTTCTCTGTCCAAAACACACCACCCTTTTCCTCCCTACCCACCAACTATCCAACAACTCTGTCTCTAACCTCACTGATTTATTCGTCCGATTCCCAAACTCCGGTTCTGTCTCTTTCCGATCCGATTATGTATCGTCGTTGTCTCATGTTCGCCCAAAGCGGAAGCAATTGAGGGTGTGTGCAAACTCAGCTGCCCAGGTGATGGACCAGTCGCCGAGTAAAATGGGTTCTATGGTTCGTACCATTGTCAAGGTCGATTTGGGTGACCGGAGCTACCCGATTTATATCGGATCTGGACTTCTCGATCAACACGAGCTTCTTCAGAAGTATTTGATTTTTTTTATTTTTAATTTGTTGATCGCATTGATTTCACTCTTTTTGAAATTTTCTTATTTTTCCATATCAGTTCAGTGCACGCACCCAGATTTAGTTTTGGCTCATATTTTTGTGTGTGTATGTGTATATATGTATCTGGTTATAGTGTTATCATTGCTTAAGCCTATAGGTGGTGAGCCCATCAACAATATATGATGACATTTANGTATCTGGTTATAGTATTATCATTGCTTAAGCCTATAGGTGGTGAGCCCATCAACAATATATGATGACATTTAACTTATTTTTCTATTTGTTATGAGATTCCCACACATGAAATACCCAACAGTTATTGAATTTTCTTTGTTCGAGTGTAATGGTTAATGCATTGTTGAATATCATTTGATTTGCTATAGTGAGTGAGGTCGCGGACTAGTCTATGCAATTGAAGCTTGTTGTTATGTAGTGGTATGCTCAATTTGTTGCCTCTATTTAGTTGAAGTGGACCGAAGTAGGAGGGCAGGGGAAAATATGAAGCCCAATCATGTCTTACATGGTGAGAATCACTAGAAAAAAGGAAAGAAATTGAAGTTTTACGTGTTCTGATACTTGGTTAGTTAGTTTAAAAAACAAAATAATTTAATAGAGCAAACAAATAATACACGAAGAAGAAGTCTTTGACAATTAATTGGCATACCCAAAGATGAGCTTCTTATATCTGTTAACTTTGTGGCAGAAAATAGATCTCAAAGGTTTTTTGTTTTCTACCTTTCTCTTGGACAATGTCTTAAATAGTTTTGACTCCTGAAATTAAACATGCTGCTGCTTGGCATTTATCCGCCTTACTCCAGGTTTGTATGTTTAACCCAAGATTGATCCCCTTGCATTATTGGAGCATGGTCTGACTTTCTGTTCATGTTTGTGGCCAAATATTCAGAAGCTGAAGAGGGGAGGGGAGGGTGGATTTTGAAGGAGATGGACTGGCCATTGTCATTCTAATGATCTAATCCCCTGGACTGGATTATTCAAGCANGAGGGTGGATTTTGAAGGACATGGACTGGCCATTGTCATTCTAATGATCTAATCCCCTGGACTGGATTATTCAAGCAGTCATAAACAAGATTGTCAAAATGTGTATTGGAAGGCGTATCGTTTTTCAAAAATAGTGTATCGCGTATCATAAAATACGTGTAATTTTATAAAAGATATTAAAAAATAAATGTACATATGACAAAATGTTTGTACCACAAATTTCTCACATAAAACAATATAAAGAGACTACAAGGATCAAAACAAAAAAATTAACAATATAAGTATTGAAATTTCTAATATAATTCACCAATATCAAAATTTTGAGAGTTTTAGTTCTAATATCTAAAGTAGCCAAAGGAGGACATTTAATCAAACTATTTGCTTTTATGATGGAACGAATAAAAAAGAAGATTTTTATTTCTTAAAAATTGTAGATGGTGAAACGACATCGTTTCATTATTCTTTAGTTTGAAAAAATTACTTCTAAGTGAAAATGCGTCGTTTTTTGGTTAATATTCAAAGGAATTTTTTTTGATGTGATTCGTCCCGTATCGGACGACTTATACATATCGTCTAGTATATCAGGTGTATCGTATTGCGAATCACATGATACAATGTAAACTGATACACTTAAGCGATATGTATCATTTTCTTCATGAATCGCAACATATCGTATGTATCATGGGATACTAAAAACTATGGCTATAAAAAAATTAAGAAGCTTTCTTTAGTCTTTCTAGCTGGCCTCTTTAAAGATCCATGGAACTGCTATGATTAGTCATATTTACACATTGGGCTATGTCTACTAGCATCCTAGGTCCTTCAAATGTTTATTTGCCTTGTTCGTCATGTTCAACCTGAATTCTTGTTGTACAATTGTTTTTTTTTTCTTTCGAACTGGACAATGATTACATGTAAGCATTTATACTTTTTATCTGGCTCTCTATTATTTATAAAATTGTATGAATTTGAACTATCCCACTTCTATCATTATACCTAGTTAGGAGATCGCTTTTTAAGTTTAATGTGTTCTTTGGGCTTTTTCAGAGGCTATAAATAAGCCTTAAAAGGGCAAGATGTGAGGAGGCGGGAAAAATGTTAGATCTTTGAGTCGTTGATAGAACCTTTGGCTCCATATCTCTCTTCTCTCTACTTGTGGATTGAAGAGCCCCTAATGGATTTTAGGGTTTTCTTCCATTTTTTGTTCCCTCTCTCTCTCTCTTATCCGTGAGCCTTTAAGGCTTCTACAGTCTATTGGATTTCTTCCATTTCTGGATTGTCTTTCTACCACTCACTTCCTTCTCAAGTGTATCCCACAAAATAATTTTCTATGAATGAAAGGCTGCAATTCGTGATTTATTTTACTTACATGAAAATTTTCAGCATTTAGCTATTTCGTAGTTTTCGGGTTTCATGACTTAATTTTTTTGGAAATCAGCTATAGTGAAATTTGAATTTTTCTGTAAAATAGACTTCTCTCCAATCCTCTATATTTTCAGTTTTATATTTATTGATTAAATTCTGTAGGCATATAATTTGTATTTATTGATTGCTTTTCTGTAGGCATGTTCATGGCAAAAGAGTCCTTGTTGTTACTAATACCACAATTGCACCGCTATATTTGGATAAAGTTGTTACTGCTTTATCCGATGGGAATCCAAATGTTACTGTTGACAGTGTAATTTTGCCAGATGGTGAACAATTTAAGAACATGGTAAGTGTCTTGAGAATTGTTTGGCATTTCCATTTAGAGTGCTTCAAGGTTTGGCAGTTAAAATAAATGCTTCGCTATGTTTGTGCTTTGATAGGATACTCTAATGAAAGTATTTGATAAGGCAATTGAGTCACGTTTGGATCGACGTTGTACATTTGTTGCCCTCGGTGGCGGCGTCATTGGTGACATGTGTGGATTTGCTGCTGCTTCCTTCCTTCGTGGAGTTAATTTCATTCAGATTCCTACAACTGTTATGGCACAGGTCTGTTGCAACTGCTGTCAGCTAAATTATGGGCTTGAGATTCGTATTTCATTTTCCTCCCTACTAATTATTAGAAGTTATTTTCCTCTTCCAGGTGGATTCTTCCGTTGGGGGCAAAACTGGAATAAATCACCGGCTTGGGAAAAATTTGATTGGTGCATTTTATCAACCACAGTGTGTGCTCATAGATACTAACACATTGAACACGTTACCGGAAAGAGAATTAGCATCAGGGCTTGCTGAGGTTATAAAGTATGGGCTTATTAGAGATGCTGATTTTTTCAAGTGGCAAGAGAAGAATATGTCAGCATTGCTTGCAAGGTGTGAATATATCTCCCTCTTTATCACCATCTTATTCTTACACCAAAGAATTNATCTCCCTCTTTATCACCATTTTATTCTTACACCAAAGAATTTAGTTGTGAGGATAGTTAATATTCACGTGAGAATATTCCACCAAAGTATGGGCTTATCATGCATTGCTTGCATGATTCTGNCTTATTCTTACACCAAAGAATTCAGTTGTGAGGATAGTTAATATCCACGTGAGAATATTCCACCAAAGTATGGGCTTATCATGCATTGCTTGCATGATTCTGTTTTTTATATAGGTACCCTCTTTCCCCCTTTTCCTGTTGGCAATATTTTATGCATAATTAGAAGGAGATTTTTGTTGTACTCCTGGGAAAATTAGGGTTGGGCCACAATTTTTGGCGTGACTTGAACCAACAATAATTAGTGGTTAGGATCGATTATAACTTGACACTTGTTCAAAAATGACATGAACTACCTTTAAGAATAATAAACAGGATGGGTTACTGTAAAACACACTTTTTTTTTTAATTTCTTGATCTCATGTTGTGTGAACACTTGTCGAATGGAGGATTGTTTGATAAGATTTGCTAGCATCTGGACATAGTGATCTTTTGTTTTACAAAAGCCTATGGGTGATGGATTGGATTAAGAGAGAAGAGGATTCTAGTCCTCAATTTTTGGTTCACGGGTCATGCATGACGTCTTGAATACCATACACAGTCGGGTTAGTGTCGCATTGTCTAACATGATGAATTAAATAGGATGTTTTAGGATTGGTTAGTACTCGACATAACTCAATTTGTAATCCTAGGAAAAATTGACCTGTCATTGGATATTTTCCTCAGGAAAGGTTAGACAGTGTGATGTCACAACAGTGTTGGTGAGAAAATGAGTCAAAATCTTTGTATTAGGCCTGTTAAACAACCATTTACTCCAAAAGTTTAAGTTATAGGAGAGAGTATAACTTAAGTATTTATACTTTCGCAAGATTTTGGGCCTACCATATGGAAATTTTTTAATAACTAGAATGACAGTGAGGCAATCATCTATTTCAAAAGCTTAAATTATTGAAGATGGTGTAACTTTACTATTTACACTTCAAACATTTTATCCCATAAGTTATAGAAGATGATTCAGATATTGTGGGATGTCATACCTTGTGACAAAAGGATTACTTGTGAGAAAAGGTGCATGCTTCTATTTTTTTTTTGTTAGGCCTTTAGGGATGTGTTCAAACATTATTGCTTTCCACTTAATAAGCACACACAACTGATGAATAAGATTTGCTTGCTTTCATGTAGTTCCTGCACTTGTTCATTCTTGTCGTTACTATGTTTTTTGGTGGAATTTGACTTATTTATATAATGGGTTGCTCCTTTTCAGAGACCCTAGTGCATTGGCGTATGCTATCAAGCGTTCATGTGAAAACAAGGCTGAGGTCGTGTCCTTAGATGAGAAAGAAAGCGGTGTTAGGGCGACATTGAACTTGGGTCATACTTTTGGCCATGTGAGTTCTGGCTTCCTGACTCTACATTTGGTGTTTCTTCTGTAAGAAGTTATGGTTGTGGTTTATTGTGTTTTTGACTCTCTAGAAACTTTATAGTTTTCGCATTGCTGAGTAACTAGAAAAGAGTGCATCCAGAAGAAATATCTCTATGGTATGGGATAGATTAAATTATTTTTTGTAGAGCGACTGGTAGTAAATGGAATTTGCACAATACTATGTACAACATACTTTACAGAAAGTCAATATTGAAATACACAAGATCATTATCATTGTTAGAATATTCAACCAAAAATTAATTGGCAATAAGTGGAGTGGCCTGTCAAATTTATCAACCAACTTTGGGTCTAAATTTTTCGGTGTGGGATAATAGGTCTCTTCACAATCATAATAATAATAATATTATTGGATGACAGTGATGTTTTTGGAATTTGATTTCTAACTGACCTTCTGCTATAGAAACTTGAGCACCACAAGAAGCAAGACACATGCTTTGCCATAGAGAAGCAAGACACATGCTTTGTCAGAGCAAGATTACTTTGTCTGTGAAATAGATAAGGGTGTTATGGATCTCTCTCTATGAAGCCACTTTCACAATCTTCTGCAATTATGTTCGGTTCTCGAACTTGATTTTAATTTTACATCAGACTGTCATAATTGAGGTGCTTAAGTTGGTGTTTGCTTTCCATACATGAGCTTGCTCTGCTTTATTTTTCATGTGTCTGTTATGTCCTTGCTAGTGGTAAAGTCCAAGTAGCATTTTGTCTTAAGGAATTCTAAATATGATAGGCAGCAACTAAAGTCTTTTGATGTCCTGTTCTTTGCAAGATATAATTTGTACACATTCTGTTCTCATTAAATCAATTTTCTGATTCTGAGTATGCTATATAGGGGTTTTACAGAGTCTCAAATTTTTTTTTTTCTGGGAAAAAGCTTTTTCGGCAGCAGTTTTTCTTATCATATAACATATTTTACAGGCAATAGAAACCAGTTATGGTTATGGGCAGTGGCTCCATGGAGAAGCTATAGCAGCTGGCATGGTATAGCATGAACTCTCTCTTTAAGATGCCCACATCCTTTTCTCTTCCTCATTTTTTCCTCTTATTGGTTCTGTTAAGAGAGAGATTTGTAATCTTAATCTGCAACGTGATAATGCTGAAGGGGGTGAGTTTTTGATTTCCAGGTTATGGCAGTTGACATGTCATACCGCCTCGGTTGGATTGATGATTCCATTGTGAACCGAGTTCATAAGATCTTACAAGAGGCAAAGCTACCCACTGCTCCTCCTGAAATGATGACCGTGGAGATGTTCAAGTCAGTCATGGCGGTAGGAGAGACTAAACTGCAAAGATCATATCCTAAATCTGTAATTGTTTCTTTTGAATTAATAATTTTTTTCCCTTTTGGGATGATGGCAGGTCGATAAGAAGGTGGCGGACGGGTTGCTAAGGCTCATCCTTTTGAAAGGTCCGCTAGGCAATTGTGTTTTTACCGGTGACTATGACAGAAAGGCCCTGGACGAAACACTACAAGCTTTTTGCAAGTCCTGATCCTGAGCCGGGCTGACTATGTTCCCAGCTCTCAGGTTTTTGTATCAGTATCTTCGTGTTGTTGTGTATTTTACTTGGCTTTTCTCTTGGACTTCCCTGTTTCTTAGTGGTAGAAATCCTTCACCACATTGTATATTATAAACCTCAGAATAAGCAGGATTGCCCGGTCAATATAATTATTTCCAGATGATTGTTATTCTACGTTTGTTTTGTATTTTATTTTAATTAGGTTCCTTTGCATCATGATTGAGAGAGAGAGAAAGAGAGAGTAAATGAACTTCAGTATAGGATTACTGAAGCATAACGCATAGTGTTTCCATTTCAAAATGCTTTTGTTGCACAGGCCGGTTTGTCCGTAAGTTTGAATCCAATTGTATAATTAGTTGTGTACTCCTTGATACAACACTTAATACCGAATCAGGATAGTTCAAGTGATAACAAGGACGAGTTGTACATACAGACGTCATTAGTTTGAATTTTGGTAGTCCCTTTGGGGCTTGGTCATGATATCTCTCATGAATATCTTAATTTTTGTGTAGATAATTTACTTTTGACGGAATTGAGGGAGAGATTAGTTGGGGTGTGCGGAAGTTAATTGGAATATTTTTGACTATTGAACTAAAAAAAAAAAAGAAGAATCTCGTGATACTAAACTGATCTCACCTATAATCAAAAAACCCAAATTTGTCTATGAAGAGTGAATCAATCCTATTTGTTTCTGCATGGGAGTCTTATGTGAACTACTAAATTTTAGGGTCACATTGAAAAGTTTTTAGGTGGTTGGGTTTAGGATACTCAAGCAAGTTAGTCACATGTTCAAAAAAAATAAGAATTATTAACCAACGTACGAGTAATCTTATCTTTCTACATTTTCTAATGAAGACCTTCAACTTAGCTTAAGTCACACGCCAGCCATTTGTAGTGATCTTTATTTATTTATTTTTCAATATTTAATTTCTGCTTTTTAAGGCACTGGAAAGGAATAATCTTTTCACTTCCATTGGCGGGGCTTTAAAGCAAAGAAGTTGACCTCTATGATGTTCAGTTTTGCGATTGATTGCAACTGATGCGGAAGGTAGTGTTTTTTCTCCTTTTTGGGTGGGTGGGGATGCAAAGGAGTTTGCTATTCTAGATAATATCAATGAAATTGGCACTACTAGAGCGAATTGGAATGAAAACTCAAGGAATAATTTAATAGTAATAGAGAATAGAGATGAGTTGTAAATTCATTCGTCCTGAATTTTTTTTTTGATTTGAAGTCGTAATGAGTTTGAATGTTGCCAATTTTACAGTGATATGAACCATTAAAGAAGGTTGGGGGTGAGGGTTGGGGTGGGGTAGGTGGATTTAAGGAGTATTGTTTCTTTCTTTTTCTGTCCAGGGAATATTGTCCTTTATACGTAAAGAAAAGGAATGGTTCGAAATCATGGGTTTTGACTCTTGCTTTTGTACCCATAGAATCCTTTGTATGCCCATCCCCACTTCTAAAAAATCACTGTATCTTCTCTCTCTCTCTCTCTCTATATATATATATATATATATATATATATATAAATTCTCTCTGTCATTATATATATAGCCTTGTATTGCATCTTAGAAGGGTATTCAGGGCCAGGGGTCACACATTTATTCTCTCAGTAATTTTAGAGGGTGCTGTAATGGCATCCAGGAGAATTCTCAAGGAGCTCAGGGACTTGCAGAGAGACCCTCCAACTTCATGCAGCGCAGGTAAATGAACACACTGAGTTGAAAACTTGTTCAATCATCTTTCTTTTTGATATTGGAGGTAACCTGTGTACTCGCTTCGAATATAACGATAAATAATCTTACAACTTAACTCAACTCAACAAAATCTTGTCTCTACGTTTTCTCTAAGGTCAGCTAGGGTCAGCTACTTGAATCATATTCTACCATTGAAGAGCTTGATTCGCAAACTCAAAACAAACAACCTATTGCATTGATGGATAAGCACTTGTTCTGAACTCGAATACTTGATTGTAAAGAATATCATTTTTCCCTCACTGATAATAACTGCCTCTTCNTCGTCCCGTATCGGACGACTTATACATATCGTCTAGTATATCAGGTGTATCGTATCACGAATCACATGATACAATGTAAACTGATACACTTAAGCGATATGTATCATTTTCTTCATGAATCGCAACGTATCGTATGTATCATGGGATACTAAAAACTATGGCTATAAAAAAATTAAGAAGCTTTCTTTAGTCTTTCTAGCTGGCCTCTTTAAAGATCCATGGAACTGCTATGATTAGTCATTTTTACACATTGGGCTATGTCTACTAGCATCCTAGGTCCTTCAAATGTTTATTTGCCTTGTTCGTCATGTTCAACCTGAATTCTTGTTGTACAATTGTTTTTTTTTTCTTTCGAACTGGACAATNTTTTACACATTGGGCTATGTCTACTAGCATCCTAGGTCCTTCAAATGTTTATTTGCCTTGTTCGTCATGTTCAACCTGAATTCTTGTTGTACAATTGTTTTTTTTTTCTTTCGAACTGGACAATGATTACATGTAAGCATTTATACTTTTTATCTGGCTCTCTATTATTTATAAAATTGTATGAATTTGAACTATCCCACTTCTATCATTATACCT